GCTTCAATTGTAAATTTGTAAATGTTAACTTTTGACCACCTGCTGTTATCGTCTAAAACACTATTATCAGAAGGGGTTTTGCTGATATTATGGTAATTTTAATAGTTCATATCATGAGTTAATTGAAGCTAGATCACCATGGAAATCTTGGAAGCACTGGATGCGCACTGCTGGAAAGTCCCACAATAGGACGAAACGGCCGTCCAGTGCTTCCAGGTTTTCCATGGTGGTCTAGCTTCAACTGACTCATGATCTCAACTATTTCAGTAACTCATTTATTTTAAATAAGAAATTAAAGCTTGTTTAAAGATGTTTATGAAGAATGATACATCTTGTCAAATGTCAGATGTGAGTAAGCTAGTATTTAATAATTTAATGTAATAGTACTATTATGGTGTGTGCTATTGATGTCGACAAACATAAGTACTATGCATCACCGATTGAAAGTGGAATGCCTGGTAACAGAAGGTTTGGAAAATCGAAGAGAAAAAGAACACAGAGTGATTGATGTGAAGATGAAGAAACAATAAAGTTTAAGACAATTGATGAAAATTTTACAAATAAATTATTTGCGTTCAGGTGTATTTGATTGTTCTTGCCTGAGTTCTCGTTCATGTCACTATCATTAAATTATCTATGTAATGAATAACGTACAGTTAGAGCTTCCCCGTAACACATTCAGTTTTCAGTAAGTGTATAGTCTCTAGCATTTTCGTTTATTTTCCTATTCATTTGATGAATAATTAAATTCTGTACAGGAAAGGGTAATTTCTATTATCGGTCACACTTTTATAAAATCTTTTATCTTTCATATGGTACATTGACAGTTAAAAAAAAGTCCTTCATTTGAAATGATATCTTTAAATAAAGATCATACTCCAGTATGAATGACTTGCCCACTAAACCATTAGAAAAATAAACGAAAGTACTAGACACAACACATTTGTTAAAGATCTCAACTTAAAATACTGATGGTTGAATAATTCAGTAGGACAATAACATAATCAATTGAAAATAACTGCTTCTTTTGCACTCACTGATGGTTGTCAAGTAAATGGCGGTGAAAAAGAGTGAACAGTTGATCAATAACACTTATAATTTTGGTAATATATCCTTTTTAATGACAATGTAAGACAATAAATGTAATTGGAAATTATATGTAGTGTGACTTATTGCTTAGTAGATAATAATATAAATAGAGAATTAAACATTCAGTAAATTTAATATGTCGAAACGGTCGTCCAGTGCTTCCAGATTTTCCATGATGGTCTAGCTTCAATTGACTCATGATCTCAACTATTAAAATTACTACAATCTTCACAAAACCCCTTCTGAATATTAATTAGTTTTTTATCCGTTACAACATCAAATATCATTAGCTTAGATTACGCCTGTTACTCCCAATAGAACATAGTCTATCAGATATTATATTAATACATAAAATCACTGATTAATTGTTTGAGTAATCAGAAATGAATAAACGTTTATTCTTGAAGGTTCTAAACAAGATAATTGTAGATCAAATAGAGAAAATAAATTACAATCACGTAAGCATAGCCTCTTTAATTGATTCCAATTTCTATGGTTAACCCTCTTGTATATTTCATTAGCTTTGTGTTGTCTAGATAGTGTGAGCTGCTCACAGTTTTTATAAACTTAATTCTTGATAGAATAAACAAAGTATATTATTTTATAGTTAATTACTTTAATTAAATACATTGTGTTAGCGTTGCTTAATAACTGATTTTGAATAACCATATACATTTATCTACCAACGGGTAATTGATTATATTCATTTCATGTACATTAACAAATGTAAGCAAAGTACCTAAATGGCAGTCGGTGGACTAAGATATGAACAATGATCTGTTGAAGATAGTTTAACTATCATTTTATCCTTATAGTTCATTGTTGTGTTGAATATAGACTTTACAAATATGTATAACTTAATAATAAGTAGGTGTAAAAGTTGACATTTGTCCAATATGAAACTGTTTTTTTCTTCATAAACTGATATCAGATGTACAAGTTGTTTTTTTTATTGTCTACGACTTCACAAACGTAAGCATCGCCAACCTCTGTATGGATCTGAAACCTCAGGTTCCGTGAAACCTTTAGATTAGTGAGTCGAGAAAAGATTTACAAACCACTAATAAATTATATTATCATACAAGGGTGACGATAAAAATACTGATCGCATTTACAAGAAAACCTGTAGTAATGCTTCGGTCGGCAATTGTAAACTATTTTAGATCATGTTATTATCAATCAATCAATCAACTGATCTGTCTCTCTTATTCACACTGATATGTGTTTTAACTTAGAATTTTTATTCGATGGTTGAATGGGATTAGCAAGAAACCATTAGCTTAGCATTTTGTCTCACGACGTCACATCATTGAGCTTAGTGGTTACAATGAAAACTCAAATGACATAAGTCAGCTAGAGTTAAGAAATAGACAACATGACATTGACTGTTAATCACTGACTGATTATCGCAGAACATAAAGTCTTATTTGAAAAACTAGTTCAATGGATTACGTTTCATGCATAAAAAAACTGAGCATAAAGCAGTTAATGATTTTAGTGAAAACGAAACACAATTATCTGTATGATTCCTGTAGTTAAGCCAGCAGAAATCAAGACCAGTAACTGATCAAAATTCTGATGTAACTCAGACAAAAAAATGCAACTTATGTAAGACAAGATAACTAGAGTACCGAATTTTTGCATCTTCATAAACCATATTTGAACCAAAAATATCGGTGTTTTTTTTAAAGTTATTCCAATCAGCTCCAATTCAAGCCATTAAGTTTAACTATTCAAAACACATTTAAGGGAAATCATCTAACTTGTATGCAACATCAGCTCGTGTAAGTTAGTCTTAGCAAGTTTGATCATTATTCCGCACATTTATCATTTTCCTAATAAGACATCATTATGGATTATGGATAAATTGGAAAACATAAATAACTTAGCTGATACATATTAAAATAAATCAACACAGCGTATGTAGAATAATTTCTAACCATTCATTGAATATCGAAGAGGTGAGGGTTTTTTTCAACAACAAGAAAATCTTCTTTCTTCCTTTATATCCGACATGATTTATACTAGTATAGGGGTTGTGTAGATTATTAAGTTTTTTTATTGAGATCATGAACCGATTGATGTTAGACCACCACGGAAAACCTGGAAGCACTGGAAGGCCGTTTCGTCCTGCTGTGGGACTCCTCAGCAGCGCGCATCCACGATCCCGCCAGCTGGCTTCCAACTCAGGGCCTTCGGTCTTGCGTGCGAACGCCTAACCTACTGGACCACTGAGCCGACATCCAATGGTGATAGTGTCTAACATCAACCAATCCACGAAATTGCATAACCATCTTCCATTGTACTGAGGTAGATACTGTTGTTATCATTTTATTTGACTGTATATTGCCACGTTTGGTTTAATGTATATTACCTTTATACAATAATGTTATCTATGTAGACAGACAGATAGATATATGTTTAGTGTACATAATACATGTTATAGACATCTTAAAGATTTATAACATTCCTTAAATAAAACCACTAATGTAACATTTGAATCAATAAATGAACAATCATTAGTGATAAAAGTGACAACTGTTATCAGTAAACTTCAAATAGTTCCTATTTTATATACATTTAAACATTTTCGAAGGTTATAAATTCAAACCATTTTCCTACAAATCTTTATGATAAACTTTTTTTATTTTAGATTGTTTGACAATTAACAGATAACTAGTATTTGAGTTATTAAATGTACTGATGACTTATAGCGGTTATAAAGTCCAATTCTCTAGGAGAAACCAATCTCCATTATATATATATATATATTCAAAACAATTAGTCCCTTTGATGAATTTCCATGATGTAATAAGAAGACGAAGATTATCAGAACTATGTGATGGTATATTAGCGTAATACACTCCGAACAATCTGATCATACATTACATACTTGTTAAGAACATTTATATATACAGAAAATAAATGGTCAACTAGACTAGAAATGAGAGTAAGAAGAGACAAGGATGATAATAATAAGAGTAATAATAATAATGTGTCTCTTCTTATCATCCATTTCTAGTCAAGTTAACCTTTTATCGTTTTATATATATAAATGTTCTTAACAAGTATATAGTGTGAGATCAGATTGTTCGAAATGTATTGCGCCAATATATCATTACATAGTTGTGATAATCTTCGTTTTCTATATATTACATTATCGAAATATATATATTCAGTTATTGGGATTTTTGTGGAGGCCCGTTATTTTGTTGTCATTTAGATCGGACAATGTTTGTTGACGGCCTCTCCACCTTAGTGGCCCGAGATCTGACTCCAAGGTGATTGTATGAATATTTGTTATCACCTATCCCCGTATATAATCATCGACTTAAATCGCGTTCGTCATTAGCGGAATTAAATAAGTCAAATAACAAGAATGGATTTTTGAATAAATATATTTTGTATATGAAGCGAATAGAATAGAGATAAGGGAAACGACGCGCAGTGGAGATGTCGGGTAAGCCAACTCCCATTTAACCAAGCGTTAATCAATATTTATAGTTGCACAAAAGTAAGTTACAGTCATTTGATGAGTAATGGGATAAGAAATGTACACATACCTACACGCTCATATAAAAACAGTCAAGATTGATAAGCGAATAATTAACAAGGTCCGAATATGACTCAAGTACAATGGGCTATCCGAAAGCTAGAATAAGGTATATGGGCTTAACAATAATAACCGACACTACAAAATCCTAAGTTAATTGAAGTTAGACCAACATGAAAAACTTGGAAGAACTAGACGACCATTTCGTCCTATTATGAGACATTCACAAGAAATTGAAATGACTAACATCTCCACAAAACCCCCCTTCTGATATATATATACATATTGATTTATCAATAACAAAATATCAATAAATCAATTATATAATCGATTATCTATCAATTTATTGATAACTTACAATTTTGCTTAATGTTCTAATTTGATCATCATCTATAGGTGGATTACTATAATCATCAATTAATATAATCTCTTTTATATTATTATTAATTAATAATAATGATGTATTCATTAATATACTTTGTAATGTATTTTTTATAATGATTGAATTTTCATTATATGCAATAATGATAATACTTATTTTGGGTATATATTTATATACCTCTGTAATGGATAATAATTCAATATTTAAATGATGGGATAATGTATTCAATGTTAAATGATGACATAATTCAATATTAAATTTTTGTGTTTTTTTGAAATGATTTTGATTAAAATGTAATGAATTCAATAATAATGTTGATCTTGTGAATAATAATAAATAGAAAGTAATAATAATAATAATGATAATCTTGTTGATTACAACATTAGATTGAATAAGATTATGATACATTTGATATAGAGTAGTATTATAATTTAAGTGATTAGTAAATGATTACTTGTTTTTAGACAATATTACGTAACTTCATCGACGGTTAAATAAATAAACAGTGTTGAAACTTTGAATATTAGACCTTAGCAACAAAAGCAATTCGTATATAAATCCATATTGTTTGATTAGTTTTCTTTTCTTTCTTTTTTATTATTATTTTTTCATGAATTTCAATGGATAGATAAAGAAGGTTTACTATTACAGATTAATATGATCCCATCCACCTATCACAATTATGTTATACATATACATATTACACGTAATCCATACATTTCAATATTATAATTTAATTATTTTTGTAATAGAATTATATACGTGTAAGGTAAATGCGTTATTCTTTTTAATGAAAACATATTTTATTTTTTATTTTTGGTCTGTGCAGAAAAAAGAAAAAAAAACTACAAAGGTCATTTTAATATTGGTTAATAAATCTGAACTATGAGATTGGTTACATGGTATATATATACATATATATATGGATTTATGCTTGTATATGAATAAGTGTTGGTTTGTGCATAGCACATAATTGATACACACTCACTCACACACACACACACACGTGGATAATACATACACACAAACATATATATATATATACAAAAGCTAATGTTACCTATGAAACGATTACGTTCATTTTATAATTAAGTTATATTTTTTTAAAGTGTTAATATTTCTTCTTCTTTTTTGTTTGTTTTAATGATAAGCCGTCTTCATTGTTATACGTTTGTTTGTTGTTTTTGTAACGTAAGCATTTGGATTAATTGTATAATAACTTGGCTACATTTTCAATAATCTATGAAATACTTAATTGATTGAATAGTGTATAGTTAACATTAACTAATTATCATTTTAATATGAAGATTTTATAAAGTATATAATGTAAATAATAGCAAATTATCATAAGGGGATATTATAGTAATTTTAATAGTTGAGACCATGAGCAAGACCACCATGGAAAACCTGGAAGCATTGGATGGCCGTTTCTGATATTAATCAAAAAGTATTTCCTGAAGTTCTATTGAGAAGTAGTAACCAATGGTGTTCAATCGGATCAGTTGTGAGATAGTAATTCACTGAGGAAAATGGTGGATATGTCGCTCAATTTTGTGAACTAGTTGAAGTTAGACATTAACACCATTGGATGCCAGCCGGCTCAGTGGTCTAGTGCCCAATCGTTCATGTGCGAGACTGATATGTCCTGGGTTGGAATCTGGCGAAACGGGATCGTGGATGCGCACTTCTGAGGAGTCCCACAATAGGAGAAAATGGTCATCCAGTGCTTCCATGTTTTCCATGGTTGTCGAGCTTCAATTGACTCATGACCTCAACTATTAAAATTAGCAAATTATATCAGTTAAAATATTTCTGAAGTTAAGCATCAACCTTATGTTTATATCTTTTAGATATAAATTAGGAAAAGTATATTTGAATTTGTGAATGAATGAATAGTAACTATCCTATAACCAATTTCGATTATCGTTAAGCTCGTCTATTAACTTACTTAATAGACAATGTTATTTAAACAGTAATAATTCGCATATTTATTTGTATTATTATGATCACTAGATCACTTGACAGACTCCAGCTAAAATGTTGATTACTTAAATATCACTTGATGATTTATCTTCCTCCCCATGTATATATGTACTCAAATCCTATTATTAGCCTTCGCCTAGCTATGCCGTATTCGATTTGTGATAAGTCATGCTAATTGAACGCTATATTCGGTTCCTAAGCTATCATTGTAACCCCCAAGCTAGAATTATACAGCGACCTGAACACGAGAAAAGGCGCAAAATATGTGAGAAGAACTTTACTCCAAAAGTTCGTTTTAGCACAGAAAATATAAGGTTTTTATAATATTTTAGATGTCCTTGGGTTTACTGAAAATTCTGGAATGCTATTGAACATAATAGCAGTATAGTAATCTGCCAATCAGAAACTCTACATGTGACTTTTCACTTTCTTAATGTTTTTGGCTAAACTTCAAGTGCACGCTGATTAGATAAAATGCTTCTTAGTGTTTTCCTGATCCTTTCTTGTCTTTTGAGAGAAGTTTTCTGGATCACCCCAACAATTTGACTATAAATTCGCTTCTGTATTTGCTCGTTTATACTTATTTGCCCCTGCGCTTCAAATTCGCTTGATTTGCTTATAGTTTTGTGATCTGCACTATCCCCTAATAAACTGTAGTTGACGCTTCTCATTACCTTTTGATTTTCATCATCGTTGAGATTTATATTATAATGGTAATCAAGGTGATCGATTAACGAAGCAAAGTCACTACAAACGGATAATGTTTTTTACAGCATAACCCTATCAGTTATTCAAACTCTTATGATGATTGAGGGCTAACGAGAGAAATGATACTTCAACGGAAATGTTATATATGGTTGTCTTATGAGTTTTTTTATCACTGTTTGTAATAAACGGATAATTGATTTCACTCTATAATGCGCACTGGACGCATCGGTCTACTTCTGTTTTGTCGGTGTAATTTTTTTGACTAGGATTATAAATATGAGTTTAGCAGTTAGATTACAAATAGTATCCAGTTGTACATTTGAATCATTGTTCTCGGTGAAAATGACGTTTCTTACCTAATTTAAGGATAGAATTCCGTTTAATTTATATGAATGAAAGTCAGTTAGATGTTTTACATCATGCGAGTATTAATGTTACGAAATATGAATTCTTGTGTTACACAAAGATATTATTAGTATTTTCGTCTTGACTTCTTAAACCAAATGTGGAACTTCAATTTCGACTCTCATTGCTAATAACTCATTTCCAAATAATTTATAAGTACTGGTTTTATTAAGTTGGGTTATACGACTTAAGAATGATTTCTCTCATAGGTTATTTGGAAATAGGAAGTATTTGACATTAGTTTCGCACTAATTTGAGGTTCTTCAGAAGTGGACCCCCACGACTCCATGCGGAATGTTGTAGAAGAGTGAGGAATACCTTGTTGAGTAGCCAACAAAAGTTTTTGTAGGATTGTTGTCACATGACATTGTTTTGAGATACCAGTCAATAGATCATAATAACTGGTACTATAAAGCAGATTTGACATTATCATCGCATTAAATTTAAAATTGAATTGCAGCATTTTAGTGGGAAGATTCACAATGTATTTAGTCGCAGATTATGAAAGGGGAATGATTTTATACTTTCGAAATGGACGATTTCAATAATGTACGTGTCAAGTTTAAAACGTTATTTGTAGCTAACGTAACAGACTGCCTCCAACTAAATAACCATTGGACTAGGAAGCACTGGAAATTTGTCTAACCGTTCAGTAGTGTAGACCCTGAAGATTGGACCCACATGATACAAACTACAAATTGATCTATCTTGACAGAACTTTTATAACAATATTTAGTATTTCCTGTTTTACTACTTATGACTAATAAGTAATATGCTCACAAATTGAAAGGTGAAAAAGAAGAATAAATTCAATAGAATCAACTACAAAATGAATAGAAATTCATCAAACGCAATGTATTTAGTTTTTTTTATATTTTTGAAGTCTCTTGCATACATATATAGAAAGGGTGACTATTTGTACAAGAGAAAATTACTCGACCTCTTCTCCTAACGTAGCTATAATCTTATAAATCGATGTAAACATCCAAGGATGAAAACTTGTTTTCCACTTCTTCTCTGGTAAACTTGTTGTCAAAAATGTTGTTTATCAATTCAGGTATTTTAGATTTTGCCTTCTTTCAACAGAAAAAGATATGGAGACTTTAAGTATACAAGTATCCAATAAACCAAGTCGATAGCAGTGATAACTGGACTTTGATACCAGGATAATAAAGCTCTCTTCTATTCTAGTCGTGACTAGTCCAATACGCAAATTTCGGTACTTAGTGAAAGGAGACTAAAGAAGATTAATCCACAATTCAGATTATTCAATTATATCCCCATTACATCAAATGAATATTAGTTACAGGATTTTTAAAACTGAATAAAGGTCATTCGGACAAAAAAAAATCACTAAATTGATTGATATAATGAAACTACACTGAAATACGAATGAACAGAAATCAGCCCAAGTCAATAGGTACACTTTGAGATTTTTTTCTAATAAGTTGTATTTGAGGATCTAACATCCCCAAATGTATTGAGAAGATCGTATAAATTGGAAAGGAACATCCGTTTCTCAACTGACCATTTACTTGCCTTTGAGAGCCAAATTTAAAGGTTTGGAAAAAGCAATTTGTATAAAATCATTCGAGGGAAATGAAACTCATTCCAGAAAGCCACTGAAATAGATATCGCTAGATTATTTTATCAATTACACGACGAACTACTTCGTCAATAAACATCGCTATTATGGGGCTGAGCACCGTATTGATCATTCATGCTCTGAATAACTAAGCCCCAAAGTTTAAGTGACGCAGTTTCAAATATATCAGGTTTTTTTTCGAGATTGAAAATACCATTTGATGATAGGTAAAAACTAGTAAAGAGATACATAATTATGCCTTCCTTCTAGTTAACTCCAGTTTCACGGGCGGCCTGCCTGAGCATCTGGGCTACCTGTTCCTGCCATCTAGATATTTCAACAAGTTATCTATGTTTGTTTTAATATATTATTATGTTTATTAATTGCATAACCTATTCTGCTGCGTTTCTGAGAAGTGTACAACCTTTCGTTGTTAAAGTTATAAAAAACTCAATAAGAGACAATGTGGTTGCTGGCAATATACAACGAAAAGAATGTACGTTATTCAGATGTTCATTTAGTGAACTGTTAACATCTAACTGGCGATCACTCAATATTTATCGCCAGGACCGACCAAGAAGAAAGAAACGAAAACTTGTTGAAACACTTTACGCTGAGAATTCTATATTGTACTAAAAATATAATATTGAATAAAGCTAATAATAATAACTATTGTAACGTGATTAGATGTGTGTACGAAAATTGGCAGTCTCGCTTTCTGACTAACTAATGATATTTTTGCTACATGCTAAAACATTCAACTATCAGTTAGCCAGTCAGAAGTTCGAAGCCTCCCCAATAAAATCTAGTTAGATGATCTGAATATTTCTAGAACTTTTGCAAGGTGTGTTTCAGATCATAATACATCTATAATGACTTAGAATAAGTTTTACTAACATTATCAGCAAGAAAATCGACTCGTTTGCAACATCAAATAAGGTAAATATTTGGATTAACCAGTTAAGTTAAAGCTATATAAAACGAACAGAACATATGTAGAAACAAAGAATAGCTGGTATACTCATAATTACAAAGTTATCTGAAAATGCATAATATTGCAAGCAGAAAAAAGTTTCCTTTGAACCTAATATTCACATAATTATGATGATTTGTCCATATAATATTCAGAAAACTAGGAACCTGGTAGTCCTGTTAATAGAATAAGGATTATTTGTAGTCAGTTTTAAATTCAACGTGACCGGATGACAACAAACATTTTTATTTACCAAACAGAATCGTACCTACCGTGAGAGAGCTGGTAATACTACTGAAGCACTAAAATATTGCTCGCATCTTCTGGGATCACCGGGTAAGTAATAGTGGGGTTAGACGCAGGGTATTAGGGAATGATGGTAAATCAGGTGGTAAGGTTGTAAATCTTCATCGACTGAGATGGTCGAGCCACGTGTTACGTATGCCTGAACAGCGATTACCATGACGCGCAATGTTGGATAGTGTTGGAGACGGGTGGAATAAAGTTAGAGGCGGTCAAATCAAAACGTGGCACCAGTGTTTGAAGTCGCTAACTTCTGATCTGAGCCATGATGTTAGATGCGGACTACTTGTTTGGGGTCCGCGTCACTATCGTAACCAATGGTTGGAGACTCTAGGTGACATGGCTCAGAATCGATCACAATGGCGTCGGTGTATACGCTCTTTGTCTTTCCTTAAACCGTGAGATTAAAATTGCTTTATTTCTACCAACTAATTCTTTCTTTCTGTGTTACATCCTTATACACAAACCTCCTTTTATATATTACTACCACTTAATTAACTACTTCAATGAATTCGGTGTTCACCTTGCTGTGCTAATGAGGTATGGCAACTTGGACTGATGCACAGATGTGCCTGGTCCGACATTGTAGCTGACTGAAAATATTATCATTGAAGTAGTATTTAAAACCATGACTCAGAAGTTAAGTGTCAAATGCTTAGTTGACCACTTCAAATGTTGACTGTCAGACAGTGAGTCGAAGAATCCGAATCGCCATTGATAAGTATTGTGATAAGAAACTAAATTTATCTATATCCTAGATCACTTTGGTATTCGAATTTATTACGATCAAAATAACACAAAGTAAAACCATAATTTATTTGACAAAGTTAGAACTTGTGAAATAAATACCTTCACCCATAACACAAAAAACTACTCACATGTAAGCAGTAAGTATGCTAAGGGAGGGGATTATCGATTTGTTTACCAGCAGCTAAGTAAATTGCTAATGATTTCTCCTAGAAACAGTAAGAATGAACAGGCGACTAAGCTGTCAGGATTACCAATAAGACAGATCTGGTGAGAATGCCAAATACAGAGTTACAGGGTTAGAATCAACTTTATTTCCTTTGATTATGCACAGGAAGGTAAGAACAAAGAACAGATTAGTTGACTATACAATATTATCTTAAAAATAATGTTTCCGAACATAAAACAAGTGCTTCTTAAGTGTAATTTAACATTAATCATGTACTAGATACACATTTGTGTACTTATTTTTGAACAACAATTTTTGTACGACGATTAGTGATACTATGTAGTTGCATGAGCTGAGATGGAGTAGAGTTTGAAAGCATTAGTAGCTGAAAATCGAATCGTTTAACTAATAAGCCACCATTTCGCACGTAAGTTCTAGCTATTTTCTCAACTCGTTAAGAAGCTGTCAAACTACTCTAAACCCACTACACCGGAAGTATGGACGACTCACCACTCACTTTAGAGTAACTATGACATATATTCTCATTATAGTTTACGATGTTATTCATAGTTGGTTTTAATAATGTAACCTATCATTTAAGTTAAACTTCATCCAAAAGATACATGAAAGGCCATTTCGGAGCAGAAAATGGTCTTTACGTCCTGGTGAACTAGTTCAGATTAATGGTTCTCGGCTGTTTGAACTATAAAAGACTACATTTTTCACAGAAAACTACTTTCAGTGACATCTATGTTCATTCGAAGCATCCCGCATAAGTTTAGAAGTGCCAGTTTTTTTATGAAACTGAGTGTTTTCGAGAAAGACTTAGCGCCTCTAATACGTGTTTTCACAAGATGTATTTTACAGTCAGTCAGCTACAACCTAGGACCACGCACATATGTGCATCGGTCCAGGTTGCCATACCGCATCAGCACAACAAGATGAACACTGGATTCACAGCAGTGGTTAGGTCAAAGGTGGTAATATATAAGAGAAAGATTGCATATAGAGATATAGTACAAGAAGAAAGAATTGGTTCGTAGAAAGAAAGATATGAAGTGATTTTAATCTCTTAGTTTAAGGGAAGACAGGGAGTGTATACACCGACGCCATTGTGATCGATTCTGAGCCAATGTCACCTAGAGTCTCCAACCATTGGTTACGAAAGTCACGCGGACCCCAACCAAGTAATCTGCATCTACCAACATGGCTCAGACTAGAAGTTAGTGTCTTCAAGCACCTCTAACAGCACTCGAGACCACTGTATGTATTTTACAACATGAGATGATAGTATCATTATGGATACTAGCCGGCTGAAGCAAATTTACCTGACTATATCTATTATCTAAGGTTCACTATCAAACACCTATCACAGTAAAACCAAATCAACAACAGTAACTGCTCTTGAGTAGACCATTATTCGGCATCATTAACATATGGACAGTAAAATCTAATCGATATTACTACTCAATTGAATGTTATAGGGATATATATTGTGAACACTTTTACAAAGCATTTAGCACAATCAAGAGATCAAACACACTAAGTACACTCTAGTTTCAGATACCAAGTTCGAGGGAACCACTTATGA